TCTGTCTGCTGTCAGTTCCCAGAGCTGAGGCCAAACAATATATAGCTGCCCCAATTTCTTTTTTTTTTGTTTTCCTAAATTATCAGGTTTCGCCAAATACTCATATGTGTATCTACCTACAAAAGTCATGCTCTTATCACTGGCAGTAAAAGATCGGAAAATAGGGAAGATATTAAAATGTCTAAGATCTTACACCTGAGTAGAGGAAATTCTCATAAAAAGAACATAATGGAAGACAAGCTAAAGGCTATCATTAAACATCTGTTAAGTCTACAATGTCACTTATTATATCATACAACATTAATGAAATACTCTGATAAGACTACTTTCTTACCCTTCCACGCTGAAGGATTTTGGGGCGTTTTGGCCCTCTGTTGATAAAAATGGGTTGCTGGGGTTTGGCATTGGGCCCAGATATCTGCATCTCTGGGTAAATGCTATCCAAATACCATTTAAATGATTTACAACCCAACTTCTTCCTCAATTCAACACGCTCACTGACATTTCCATAGCTTCTTGTCCTCAGATCAGGTCTTAAGGAAAAATACTGCTCCTGAATTTGAAAAAGAAAATTGAGAAAGGGAATGGATTTTTTGTTAAAATGAGTATCATCAATTACATCTGAGGTTTAAGAATTGAAAAAATGAATGAGCAAAAATATTTTTCGTGCCAGTGTTTTCTTGATATTAACAGAAAATGTCAATAGAAAGTTTTTACACAATCCTATATAATAAAAAGGTAATATGCAAATTGACGATCACACCTTCGCACAAGATGGCTGGCAGGGGAGAGCAGTTGGCGGGGGTGGGGGGGAACCAGCCTGCAGGGGAGCAGTTAGGTGTTGAACAGGCTGGCAGGGGAGTGGTTAGGGGCGAAGCAGTTAGGGAAAAACAGGCAGGCAGGCGAGCGGTTGGGAGCCAGCAGTCCCAAATTGTGAGAGGGATGTCCGACTGCCGGTTTATCCCTCGAGGAGGGTTCCCAGATTGGAGAGGGTGCAGGCTGGGCTGAGGGACAGCCCCCCCCCCCGCCCCAGTGCACGAATTTCATGCACCGGGCATCTAGTTAGTCCACAATTGACAATGATTATAAGACATCTTAAATTGCTTCTAATACACTAGGAATTGATGAAACCCACTATATATGAGGTTAGCAGTTTTAAACTGTTTGTCAGGACTCTATAGTCTTCAAAACTATTGAAGACTCCAAGGAGGTTCTGTTTCTGTGAGTTCTATCTATTGATATTTACCATACCAGAAGTTACAATTCACAAGTTTAAAAACATTTAAGTCATTAAAAAATAAGTCCTAATTGGTTTGGCTCAGTGGATAGAGCATCGGCTTGTGGACTCAAGGGTCCCAGGTTTGATTATGGTCAAGGGCATGTACCTTGGTTGCAGGCACATACCCCGTGGGAAGTGTGCAGGAGGCACCTGATCGATGTATCTCTCTCATCGATGTTTTAACTCTCTATCCCTGTCCCTTCCTCTCTGTAAAAAATCAATAAAATATATTTAAAAAAAAAAAAAATAAACTCATTGCCTATTAACATAACATGCTTGGAACAGAACATGGAGTGAGAACAGTGACACTGCTTTGTATTCCTGCATATCTTTTCCATGGTTAAAAAGAACTGAGTCGGATTCTCATATGTCTGCACTCAGCCTGTAAGTTGTTAGGTTAAATATATTTTTAAAAATACAAGTTAATGAAAATATTTTAATAAACCTATTTCAGATAATTATCGTGACATTAAACATTAATAGCTTTTATTTTTTTAATGATTTCAGAGAGGAAGGGGGAGAGATAGAATCATTGATTGGCTGCCTCCTGCACATGTCCACCCCACCCCACTGGGGATCAAGCCCACAACCTGGTCATGTGCCCTGCCTCCCATGCTGGAGGCTAGAAACAGTAGTTAGCATAATAAATGCAGGAGGTCCATCAAAAGGTTGATGGACACCTTCAGCAGGGCTGAGGGTCTGCATATGATTGCCTGCTGCCAGACAGCTGAGGGCAGTTTCCCCCAACCTGATGGTCCTTTATTGTTACCATGCCTTACCTTTGATATGTATATCTGCTTTCTAGAGGGCAAAATGTATGAATAAAAAGCCCTGGGTACAGAGATTCATGGAGCTCAGTTACTAAAGCTAAGCCTCCCTGGCTCCCCCGAAAAAGGCTCCCAAGTTCACATTTCATGTCTAGTCTATTAATTTACTCACAGCCCCTTCTCCAGGTTCCCGAACTCTAGTAGATGAAGGATAACACCCTGGCATTTATGCCACCTGAGACAAGGACATCTAGAGAAGATTATTCGCCTGAGCAAAAAGAAGTTTTCTACCGGTAAAGGTGGGGATCAGCGGTAAAAGGTGAGGGGGTCCACCAGTATATTCGGTGGGGAGATTCACTACGCGTAAAGCCTGCACCAGCTTTGTAAGTTGCAAATCCAGACTGGGCGGGAACGTCTTTTTCTAGCCAGACTATAATGTGGAAGAATTTGGTTCAAAGGCAAAATACCACTGTAAATTTTTAGCTTGTATGCTCAAGGATAAAGAAATTCCAATGTCATTAGGCACTTTCTTAAATCAGGCTCAAAGAAAAAGAGTGCTGTTGTCATCTTTAACTATGTGGATTCTTGTTCAAATTGCAAAATGCCTAATTCATATTGGGAATCAAAAGTCCCCACGGGATCCGCCTCTATTATGGAGAGACTCCATAGCTAGAGAGGGCGGAGCTATTAACTCTCACAGGGAAACTCTCTAATGCTTTGTTTAAAAATTACCATAGGGCGCCTTGGGACAGGCAGATTTTAGCAAATATAACTTTATTTTTTTATTTTTTTAAATTAAATCTTTATTGTTCAGATTATTAGATTTGTTCCTCTTTTTGCAAATATAACTTTATTTTTTTTAAAATATTTTTATTGATTTCAGAAAGGAAGGGAATGGGAGAAAGAGATAGAAACATCAATGATGAAAGAGAATCAT